CGAAATAACAATAAAAACATAACCTTGTCGGAATTTACAAAAATTCTTAGAATAACAGATTAGAAAATCTATCGCAAGAAAGCTACCAAAAATAGGAAACCCGACATTTAAAGAATTTATTATTTACAATCGAGATCATTTACAATCATCCTCTTTAAACCACACTTAATGAAGCTCATGCTCTTAAAAGAAGCAAAATAAGAAAGTCTTAACTCATCCTTAAATTACACCCACAAGAACAGCATAGAATCTTATCTATATTCAAGAATGAAATACAACTTAATTTGAAAAATAATCACTGGAATTATAATCTTTACCACACTAAACTGAATAAACCAAGAACTCCAAGAATTGTTTCAAGAACAAAAGAAAATATGATATTGTTACATAATATACGCTAATGCAGATTTAGCAATCCCAATAACAATTTTCCCAACACTAAATACATCAACCCCAACAATTTTGCCAAGTGAAACAGCTTCTAACGTCCAAGATAAACCATTAACAATCAGCAACTCCTTAAAACCAACAACCGTAGCTAACACAAATACAGCACCAACACCCGAGATTAACAAGACATTAGTAATAGAAATTCTTAGTATTATAGCAACAATATTAAGCGCTATAATTGGGATAGTACTTTATTGCCTAAAAAGAACAAACCGAAAGAACCGCCAGTATTGACAACAAGCCCAACAAATACCTAATCAACAAGTACCAGTCTTATCATTTACACAACAACCGATAGAACGTGAATTAACACCTGAACAGATAAGCAGATTAGCAGATCAATTAAAAACAAACCGAGCTTTAAACTCTAAAGGAAATAAAAGACCGAAAAGGCCACCTGTTGTAGAAACAGGATTACCACCTTTAACCAAACCAGGAAGGAAATACCGATATCAAACTGAAACTGAACAATCCGACGGATACTTTATAGATACAGCATCCATACTATCATAGAACCGTGAACAAACATAAGATAACACATGCTATAGAACGATAGGGCAACATTAGTAATCAACATTAGTAATCATAATTAATCTTCTTACCAATATAGAATAGTCATATACAATCTTAAATAATATAAAGCTTCAACACGAAACACAAACTTGCTAGAAAAACATAAACAACTGAAATTAGAATGTCTACCACGATCAACAATACAGAGATCAACAATTGTGAACAAGAAAATCAAATACAACTATACCTCATATTTACAATAGTAATATTAGCAATATTATATATATTGACGATCGTACTTTGCTGTTGTTTACAACAAAAGTATAAAAAGAGAATCTACAAGAATCACTCTGACGTTGGATATTACGCTCAACAACAAGAATCAACTTGCATTATACTCTAAATATACCTATGTGCATACAACCTAGAACACAACCCACTAATATAATTATTCTAATTATTATCATAATTGTTATATCACTTATACTAGCCCTTATTGGAATCGTTGGATTACAAGTTCAAAAACAAAAAAAAAGAAAACATCAAGAACCTATAAATTATACCGCAGATGCAACGCCTTTTATCTAATTGATGTTCTTGTTTAAAAGAAAGAAGAATAAAGGAAAAACATTACTTGACCCATCTTTTTACGCACAACAAGCGCAGGAACACAATAACTTTCTTAATCAACCGAACATACAAACCCAAAAAACTATAGCCAGATACCAAAGACCAAACCAACGATACAACGAAGCATTCAAACTAATAAGAGATAGTGTACTTAATGCATACTCTACAAAAAGACCTATTAAACCTACTAGACCATTACCAGCACCACCAGGACACATTACGCTACATTTAGGACAACTACCAAATTATTCTGAACCTAACTTACCGTATAAACCAGTAGCACCTAAAAGAAATAAACATAAATCACCGTTTACTTAATGCAAGAACGCCAACAAGTACAAATCTCAACTATAATTATACCAACACCAACGATATTTCAAACAATTGTATATACTCAAGTACAAACTATACAACCAACAGCATCAGGCTTTACCTCAACTATTGTAACTACCAAATCAGTAACACCTGGATTCTTTCAAGACCCAAATACAATTACAGAAAATATTGTAATCGTAATAACAATAATATTCACAATATTATTATACGTATTTATCAAGTGGAGACAAAACATAGCAGAAAATAAAAGAAAAAATAAAAACATAAACAAAGAAGCCTTAAAAACACACGATATTATTAATCAAACTGTTCGCAATAATTAATAAACATACCGAAGCATTTTAAAGGCTTACAAGCTTACAAAAGCGAGCCATTTATTAACTTTGACTATTCAATTGATTGGAACAAATTAGATAAACAACTCAACCTTTTGAAATATAAAGTTAAACCACTAGTGTATAAACCACTTATACAAGAAGAGCAAATAATATACGATAAGATAACACTACTAATTAATACTAACAAACCTCTTATATTAACAGAAGAACATAAACAAGCATATTTAGTATATAGTATCAGAAGAAACGATCCTATTGAATATCAACAAAATATAGCAAACCTATTTAATCAAAACCTAGAATATATAACAACATTCACAAACAAAAAGTATCTAAAGAATACTAATTAATGACCATCAGTGAAGCATTAAACCGAAGATATCCATTCAGCTATATATATTATAGAAATAATAAAGCCTACTACGAAACCTTTAAAACAAACTTTAATAATAGTAAATACTCAGAAAAATTTATCAGTAAAGACCAATTTGATAACAACCAAAAACGAATTTACAGACTAAAGAGACTATTTACAACCCAACCAAATCAGTATAACGAAGAAAAACAAATAGCATTAGTAATATTAGCACACAAACATCAAGAAACTGAAACACTTAACTAGGCATTACAAGCAGCAAATAAAACTCTAAAAGATTACATAAGATACTGTGCATACTCAGAACAAGTACCTATACAATTCCCACCAGAAGATTTAAATAAAATCTAATGTCATCAGCATCAGGATCGTCTACAGGAACACCACCAACAGCAACAATGACTACATTTAAAGAAACCAAATTTCCTGACTTAAGTAAAGTAGATATCGCTAAAGATATCATGAAGGGAGTAAAATTCAACAGACGCAACTGGACAACATATTTCAACACACTCATGGATAATGTAACCTCGTATATACCAGAACCTCTACTAACATTAGGATTCTTTAATGGAACTCAGAATTACGGATACACCTGTGATGATGATATGGCACGAATAGGAAGAAACCCTGATGATGTCACTAACCATGACAAATTCGAAGGAATGTTTAATATATTATATATACAACAATTTCTAGATCGACTAACACAAGAAACCTTTGAAAAACTATATCGAGATGAATTTATCGAAAAATGACAATACTTTGTATACATGTTTCCAAGCAACTAGAACCAAGCAAATGGAGGAAGAACATCTTCACATACTTGGGAATCAATAAAAGGACAAATCAAAAATAAAAGAGGATTTGATAAAACCTTAAATGTAAACTATAATCTTACAAATCCAAAACCAGGCCAAGGAACCTTTCAAGTAGGATGGACAGATGCAAATCCCCAAAATCCATCAAACCAATGTTCATGGATACTATTTATGCATAACAAATATATCAGTGCTGAAGCACAAGCAGAAGCCCAAAAGAAATTCAAAGCACTAGTATTTAGACCTCAATACCTCAGCAATCTCAAGTTACAACTATTCAAAGCATCTTATTATAAAATGCGAGAAGAAGCAGCAATTAACCAATCCTTTGAAGGAGGAGCATGGACAGACCTTAAAGAAAAACTACCTACAGGACGTTACCAAGGAGAAGACTACTTTTTCCAACTACAATTTACAGGAGCACCAACATCATTCGAAACAGCATTTGAAGCACTTGAACGAATCTATAGTGCATACTATAATAGTAATGTAGGAAAATATTTTCAAAGTAAATATGGCAAACCCGGAAGTAAAGAAGCATTCTTTTCAGCAAAACGAAACTTAGCAGTAATAGACCTAGAAAAGTTACACTGCTTTAAGTGTAGACAAAAAGGACATTTTGCAAAAAACTGTTCTAACCCAAAATGATTTGCTAAATACCCATATCAAGATCAGAATTACAAAAACAAAAGTGACAAATGATACAGTAACCAAAGTAAAGAAAAATACCAACAGCAGAAACAACATTACCAGAATATTATTAATAAATTAAGAGATGATATCAAGATACTTAAAATAAAAAGTGGACAACCCATATACAACAAAGATAATAATAGATCTAGGAAGCCTAGACCAGAATCTTCAAAACCACCATTCAAAAAAGAAGAAAAACCTTATATCAAAAAAGAAGGAGAATCACAAAACTCTTTCAGACCAAAACGA